CATGATAGGTACTACATCATCTATTGTAGTTTGTCCAGTCAAATGGTGTTTAGTTTATACTAGGCACTGGTGATTAGTGTAAGTATTATGTCCTAAATTCAATTGATTTTGGACATAAACATTTTTTTTATATATAATTGATGCATTTTATTTGTGGCAAATGTATTATTCAATTGAATTAATATTCTAATAATTAAATAGTAGAGTCCATAGATTTAAGTTTTATTAATTTGTTAATCACAAGGAATTGTAATTATGAGATACATATTATATTTGATTGAATCTTAAATCATCAGTGGACGTAAGTAATAATGAGATACGGATATCGTTATTACGGATAGACTATCACGGGTGACATTTCTTACTTGTGAAGTACGTAGTTGATCTCACAAGTTAAAGTGTGATGATACTTAAATGAACACGTGAACGTTTTATTATAGAACAAAACATTAGAGATCGTTGGGGAGATTCCACCTGAATAATTATCTGAATGTCGGTGATTAATCTCTAACGTTCAGTAGTATAATTGTTCTTTCGACTTGAGGTCATTGTAGTGCCTTATATAAAGACAATCATACTTTGGTAATGTTGGATGGTGCTTTGTCAAGGGTCGTTAATACAACATCGTTTAAATATGTCAAGAATTATATAAAAGTTGTGAATGATTAAAAAAAGATTCGTCACGCTTAGATAATAAGAGATTGTGGTCTACATTTCATTCAATTAAATTGATAACGAAATTTTTGGTCAATGTGTACTTATAAGTCGAAAAATAGGTTTCGACTTACATTGACTTAATATTGGGATGAAAAATATTATCGATAATTGAGAATGACACATATCCATATATCGTAATTGATCGGATTATATTGACGAAATGATTATTTTTTCAAGGTAAACGAACAAGTTTGTTTTGTCATACCACGTGATATTTTTCGTTACATGTATTGGCTTAACACATTGTTAGATGTAAATATGGGCTAACAAATATGAATTGATGATAAATTAAAAAAGAAAATTTTAATTTATTGATCTCTATTAAGCCAAAATAATAATTCACGTCATTGACATCGTGATTGAGAACATAATTAAACACACAGAAAAGAGAATTAGAAGAATAAAATTCGTCAATTAATTAATTAACAAGTGTTGAACAATTAATTAATTTGATTGCTTGTTAATATTGTCGAATCAATTAATTAGATTAATTAATTTATGAACCAAATTTAATTAATTGCATTAATTAAATATTGGATGAGGTTAAGTTTAAGAAACGGGTTAAGTCCACTTAAACTTTTATTAATAGGCTGCTAGAGTTTGAAAAATTACAACACAACACGATTATATTCTTGCTAACACAAGATTTTCACTGGAGTCGGACAATTGATAGCTGTGAATTGAAGATTAGAATTGTTCTCCAAGAAATTCATTAAAAGTATAATTTTCTATCACAATTTCTATCTAAACATAAAGCAGATCCCTGATAGAAATTGAAATTTGTTTAATTTTTCGCTATATATGATTAAGTAAATTCCTAATATTCAGGAGATCATGACTCATGGTTTAACAATATCTATCTGTTTTTTACCTACTCTATAAGTTTTAAATATTTTAACATTTGTTACCTGTTTGTGGGTATTTATATGATGAATCAGAAGGGAATTTTATTACTTTTTGATGATGTTTTACTTGGATAGGTTATCTTATATCTAGGGTTGCCTGATATTTTTTGGGACTTTATGCCAACTTCAAATATGGAACCCCGATAAATATTAAGAATATTTAACAAAAAATAATTTTTTTCATTAGATAAAAATATTTTAACATAATTGATCACACACAAAAAGAGAATTAGAAGAATAAAATTTGTCAATTAATTAATTAACAAGTGTTGAACAATTAATTAATTTGGTTGCTTGTTAATATGCTCGAATTAATTAATTTATGGACCAAATTTAATTAAATATTGAATCATGTTAGGTTTAAGAGACGGGTTAAGTCCACTTAAACTTTTATTAATGACTGCTAGGGTTTGAAAAATTACAACACAACACATTTATATTCTTCCTAGTACAAGATTTTCACTGGAGTCTAGACCATTGATAGCTGTGAATTGAAGATTAGAATTGTTTTTCAAGAAATTCATCAAAAGTATAATTTTCTATCACAATTTCTATCTAAACATAAAGCAGATCCCTGATAGAAATTGAAATTTGTTTAAAATGAAATGGAAATGAAGAGAAAGAGAACACGTTTTGGTTTTGTTTATTTTCGAAAACAATTTTTTAAAATACCAAAAGAACATATTTTCAACAATTTCAAAATGGATACTTAAAACACAAAATAAATTCAAAATACAAAATTGAAATACGAAGAGAACGACCCCTAATTTTTCCAAAAATATATACACATTAATAGTGGTGTCAAGATGGGCGAGCTGCCCAGACTCGCACGAAAGCGAACCGACATGAAATTTGGCCCATGAGTGGAGTGGGCCGAATCACGGGCCCCCCGAACCTGAAATCGGTCTGGACCAGTTTAAGGAAAATCGGGCCAGCAGCGTGTTTTTAATAAAATAAAATAAAAAGCCTGCAGACGCTGCAGGCTGCAAGTACAGCTGAACAGTCACAAGTCAAATCCTGTGACCGTTTGACTGATATTTTTAATATATATATTTTTTTCGAAAATTACAATGTATAGTAACGGTAATTTTTTTTTTAATATAAATTGTGGTATTGTGAAGT